GGAGGCAAGGGAAACAAAAGCAAAAATGAACTACTGGGACCTCATCAAAATAAAAAGCTTCTGCACAGTGAAGGAAACAATCAGCAAAACTAAAAGGCAACCGATGGAATGGGAGAAGATATTTGCAAATGACATATCAGATAAAGGGTTAGTATCCAAAATCTATAAAGAACATATCAAACTCAACACCCAAAAAACAAAGAATCCAGTGAAGAAATGGGCAAAAGACATAAATAGACACTTCTCCACAGAAGACATACAGATGGCCAACTGGCACATGAGAAAATGCTCCACATCACTCATCATCAGGGAAATACAAATCAAAACCACAATGAGATACCACCTTACACCTGTCAGAATGGCTAACATTAACAACCCAGACAACAACAGATATTGGCAAGGATGCAGAGAAAGAGGATCTCTTTTGCATTGTTGGTGGGAATGCAAGCTGGTGCAGCCACTCTGGCAAACAGTATGGAGGTTCCTCAAAAAACTAAAAACAGAACTACCCTACGGCCCAGCAATTGCACTACTAGGCATTTATCCACGGGATACAGGTGTGCTGTTTTGAAGCGACACATGCACCCCCATATTTATAGCAGCACAATCAACAATAGCCAAAGTATGGAAAGAGCCCAAATGTCCATCGATGAATAAATGGATAAAGAAGATGTAGTAGGGGCGCCTGGGTGGCGCAGTCGGTTAAGCGTCCGACTTCAGCCAGGTCACGATCTCGCGGTCTGTGAGTTCGAGCCCCGCGTCGGGCTCTGGGCTGATGGCTCAGAGCCTGGAGCCTGTTTCCGATTCTGTGTCTCCCTCTCTCTCTGCCCCTCCCCCGTTCATGCTGTGTCTCTCTCTGTCCCAAAAATAAATAAACGTTGGAAAAAAAAAAAAAAAAAAAAAAAAAAAAAAAAAAAAAAAAGAAGATGTAGTATATGTATACAATGGAGGATTACTCGGCAATCAAAAAGAGTGAAATCTTGCCATTTGCAACTATGTGGATGGAACTGGAGGGTATTATGCTAAGTGAAATTAGAGAAAGACAAAGATCATATGACTTCACTCATGTGAAGAGTTTAAGAGACAAAACAGATGAACGTAAGGGAAGGGATACAAAAATAATATAAAAACAGGAAGGAGGACAAAACAGAGAAGACTCTTAAATATGGAGAACAAACTGAGGGTTAGGGGAGGGATTGTGGGCGGGGGGATGGGCTAAATGGGTAAGGGGCACTAAGGAATCTACTCCTGAAATCATTGTTGCACTATATGCTAACTAATTTGGATGTACATTTAAAAAAATAAAAAAATAAAAGAATAAAAAAAAATCAAGTTCCTTATGATTTGCCTCCATCTCTCTTTTTATCTTATTTTTCCTTCCCTTCCCCTAAATTAACTTGTTTTCTTAAATTCCACGAGTGAAATCATATATTTATCTTTCTCTGACTGACTTATTTCACTTAACATAATCCTCTAGTTCCATCCACAGTTACAAATTGCAAGATTTCATTCATTTTGATCACCAAGTAATATTCCATTGTATATATACAAGACCAAAATGTTAATTTTGAGAGGAAAGAATGAAAATAAGTTGGGACAGATTTTTTCCGATTATGAATTAAACTGGTACCTCTGTGAGAAGCTAGGTTACACAGTTTTTTCTTCATTGCCCTAGTTAAATCCAAAGCCAGTATCATGAAAACCACCACTCAGGCAAAAGTGAAACATTTACTGAAATAATCAGAAGTAAAGTTCTTTAATAGTATTTATGCTTGACATTAGCCCATTCTTCACCATACACTTATGTATTTTAGGATACAAATACTGCCCGTTCAGATTTGCACAAACAGATCTTGGTACATGTACAGATCTGTTACATCTTCTGTTTCTGTCTTACCTGAAGTAATGTGACCACGTGTTTTTGACCATCTTTGGTCCATAAAGGCATCATACCCAGCTTTAGGGCAATAAGGCCTACTCTAGAGGAACCTGGTAATTAAACACAAATCAGTGTTATTACAAACTTTTTCAACACTCGTCAACATGATACAACAGTATTTCCTACACTGTGGTTTCAATATGAGCAATAGGCAGCTAAGACACATGTTAATATATTCATAGAGTAAAATACAACTGCTCCTTAGAGATGTAAGAGACTTCAACCATGGCTGGGTAAGATATTGGTCCTTAATAAATCTCTGTATAATGAACAAATATACGAGAACTATACAAAATGAAGAAAATAGGTAAACTGATAATATTCTGCTTTAAAAATAATGCTATTAAGAGAGGGCATAAATCTATCATTACACTTTGCTTTCCTAGTATCAATTTATATCTAACCTCATTAATTGGGAAACATCTACCACTCAAATTCTAAGAACTTAGGTGGGGTTACAGGGATGACACAAGAGGTCACGTTGCTAAAATATGTCAGCCTCCACCATGCCCCTTACATTTTTTGCATAAGTTCGGAAAGTTACTCCACTAAGAACTTCTGATCACTATACAATTCAACTGACACAATAAACCCCAACCAGAGACCACACTCTCAACAAGACAGGCCTTATTCTTCTTGGTCTGGCTACACATGGGTTTAATACTCTGCGAGCTACAAGTTGCTGATTCTGGAGTTATGCTTTGCAAACCTGGAGTGCTAGAACCCCAACTGAAAACATCACTGTGACACACTGCAGTTTAAATTACACTCCTCCAGCTTTCCTTCCCTGACTTTATTTTTTTATCTGAAGGAAACAAGAAGACATACGCAGAATGATTTTCCTTTCACCTGCAAAATAGCTTCTTGAGGAAATCTTGATTACCATCAGACATTCACTCATAGTAGACCAGCATTCTAGAAATAAACTTGCAAACCTAACTACATTGAAACAGACACACTTGAGACATGAAAAATAAATTCAAGAAATTTATCATTTCGCAGCAGTCACTATGATTTTGAGTATGCCAGTCACATTAGGGAATGAGAACTTCTCAAATATAAAATAACTACCTGGCTCCCAAGGATGTAGAGGCCATGGTTCATCTTTTAAAGGACACAGTTTACTTGCTAATTGGGCTTTATTTTCCTCAGAGACCAACTGCTTAACAAATGAGACATTTTCTTCAGAAAGATGCTCATCCCACCAAGTACCACTCCTGCCATGGAGACTTCTAACCAAAAGCCAGATGTCTGCTCTGTAAAAACAAAAATTGGAAAACAAACCACAATATAAAAGGTTCCCCCATTTAACATGGGGAAGGGAGGTCACATGCGTTGGAAAGTGTAGTCTGGCCCTTAGGAAAGGGTCTGGAATCTGTGCAAGTTTTTTTTTTCCCCCCTCACACTTCTTATGACAAAAATGGGATTCACACATTTTTTTTTTTAACGTTTATTTATTTTTGAGACAGAGAGAGACAGAACGTGAACAGGGGAGGGGCAGAGAGAGAGGGAGACACAGAATCTGAAACAGGCTCCAGGCTCTGAGCTGTCATCACAGAGCCCGACGCGGGGCTCCAACTCACGGATCGTGAGATCATGACCTGAGCCGAAGTCGGACGCTTAACCGACCAAGCCACCCAGGCGCCCCGGGATTCACATATTTACTGTCAATGATTACCCTACGGTAAAAGGTCTTCATCTTCTCTTCTGGGATAAACCAATTTCTAACAGAGCTGTCCTACAAAGGAGAAGCCACTGACCAATTTGTATATGTCCCTTAATAGTTTACATCCAGTGGAGGTGGCAGAATGTGGGATGCTGACCTTTCTCTGATAAGCTCACCTCTTCCCTGCAATGACATTGCCAAAGCTCAGAAGATACATAAAAGACATGGTCTCTGACCACTTGAACATACCAAGGAAGACTTCAGGGGATGAAAGTCGGGAAGGAGGTGTGTAATTTTTGCAGAGAGGGTCAGAAAAGGAGTAAAGCTTTCTGTCGTCTATGCCCCTTTTGTAGTCAGGTGCATCCACGTTAGAGTCCCAAATTTTGCACTAATTAGTTGACTTATCTTACTTCCCCAGGCTGCCGTTTTATCTGCAAAACGTAATCACGACTACGTGATTAATAATGATAGTATCTGTAGAAGGTATAACGACAGCAGTTCTATCTCATAAGGCTACGAGAACTAAGACGCCTAACATACTCAACAAAGCATTCAGTACAGAGAAAACGCCCACTAACTGGTAGATAATATAACTGCTGTTGGTAATGCTCTCTGCCAGTCGCTGGCTCATAAACATTAAAAACAAAAAACCACCCCTTCAGTCCTTTAAACGGCGCTTCCTTGGAGTACCGCTCCTAACTCCTGTGTGCCTGCGGTCTGGAGACAGCCCCTTTCTCCTCCACCCAGGGCAGACCCCTCCGCACTGGGCCATGGCACTGCTCCGGGTCGCAGTGTTTCGCAGGGACCACACCTCCACACCCAGTCTCGAACACCCACCTGTTTCCCGAGCCCCGGGCAGCACCCAGGCCGCTCGCGCCGCAGCCCAGCACCCGGGCGCCGGCCTGAGCCAGCAGCCTCCAACCAGGCATGGAGTAGCCGGGGAGGGCTCGGCCCGCTGCTCTTCCTGTCGCCCCGCCGCTCTGCTTTCAAGACGTCCCCACGCTGCAGCCTCGAATCCACCGGAGCCCTCCGGGATCCTCCCGCTGACTTTGTACCGCTGCCCTCCCAGGTCGGAAAGGAGCCGCTGGAGCCACTTCCGGTCCGTTTCCTAATGGGCTCCGGGCACCGAGGTCAACCCCCGGAACTAGAGTTCCGCCTGCGGATAGTCCTACTTTGGATCCCAGTTAGGGTAGGGATGGCGGGGACTAACTGATTTGTCTCTCCAGGGGTTGGAAAAAAAAAAAAAAAAAAAAAAAA